GTTAAAACAATGAAAGTAGCAATGTCTCATAAATGATGAACCTAAGAATATAAGAATGATACCCCATCAACAGAACTGAGATAAATCTATCGCTGGGGAGAACTGGGAAGCAACGTCAAGGCCTTCAACTCTGTGCATAGTTGAGATGGAAACATTTCTTTGGAGTAGGTTTGAGGGTCAGAACTTCTAATACTTTGAGGAACAGACAAGAAGGCATTGAGTCAGAATAAAGATTTTAATATTCTATTCCTAGAAGGAAGGCTTGCATATTCATCTTTTCACATGCTCTCCTTGTGCTGTCCGGGTGTCCAGGGATTGTGTCACAATCAGTAGTGGTTGATAGGGCAAGGCCAATAAAGCAGAGACCCAAGATTGTAAGAGGGCTCCCATTTATAGGGCTGGATGTTATTTGTCATCCTACTAAGATGTATTTTATTCTAAGTGTAGAGACCATGGTTTACTTTGCAACAAGTTAATTTTGGGATAGTACAAAGCTTTCCTTTTGGTATGTCCTTTCAAGTGTTGGTGCCATTCTCTTGACCCTTAAGGGGTTCGATTCCATTTACTTTATGAATTATCTCTTGTGTTCTCACTTTTATTATACACTATAAATTTCATTACATTTTTCCTTCAATCCGCTGATATTGTTGACCATGCATACTCAGAGCTATGCCCATACGTGCTAAGCCCTACGATATGTAATGATGAATAAATGACATAGTATCTTATTACAATGATTCACCCTAGTGAGAGTAATATATTATACTAAACTGACAATTATAAAAAAGACAGTACTAATCAGAATGATAGAGTTCCAAAGAATAACACATGGCTGACACACCATTAGAGGAATGCCCTGAGTATTTGCTGATGAATGGATTAATGACAACACAATCCAGAGACATCATGGACAACACAGAAAGGCATCTAAAGCTATCGTGGTGGGCTGCTAAAACCTGCTTACTCTGAAGGAAACCCTATGGTTACAGTTCCAATGGAAAACCTGGCAGTTGCACCTTGATTTAATATCGTCCATGGTTAAGGGTAGGAGAATATTATTCTGCTAACCGGCTGGAGTATGATTCACAGGGGAGGGCACTCAGATTGTCCCATACCAGTTTTGTTGTGGTCACTTAATGCATACAGTGTGCTGCATGTGTGTGATTGGACTGTGTTTAAGAAAGAGAACGCACCTCTCCAACACAACAGGGGCAGTAAAGTGATCTGAAAATCAGGTCAGCCTTAACTCACCTCCTTCCTGGAAGTTACAACCCTTATTTACTCTCTAGTCTCGAGGGCTATGACAGTTCCGGGCTAAAGTTATATTTCATTTTATTTCAGTAAGCACCTGATTTTATTTTATGTGCTTAGGCAATATCCTTAAAACTGATTTTTGTTTCTACACGTTCACAAAGTGAAATTATTTCACACTTTGCTTTCCTTGAGTGTTTAATGATGGGATTAATTAATATATAAGTTCGAATGCAATGAGCTCTTAGCATAGGCCTGGACATAGAAAATGCTCAGTAGTTTTAGATATTCAGAATGCCATGGACTTTCTAGACCATAGCTCAGACTGAAGGCTTGAGATTATTTTTTGCAAGGTTTTTGTTGTTGTTGTTGTTGTTCGTTCCACACCCTGCTAAGGGAAGGCTGTATTGAGCAAGGGAGAACAGCATGTTAGCCTGGTGTTTGTTGGTCGGCTGCAACTCACTTATAATGTGACCCAGGGCTGTCACACTGGATGAGATCAGACCCAGATCATGCTGTCTGACCTGCACATGATCATAGGCTTTTCCTAGAGAAGTTCTGAAGAGTTCACTCAAAAGCATAATTACCAGATGTGTAGACATGACTTTGGGTTTAGAGCAGTCTGTGTTTTAAGAAAAAAAAAATACTGAACCCATGCTGTGTCTATCTATTATTCACTCTCCCTGTTCACTTTTCTTTCTCTGCTTTTTACATCTCTCTACCTCTCCTCTCTTCCTTCTTTCTGTTTTCTTTCTGTATAATACGATTTAGGATAATAACAGCTTTTATGTATTCAGCCCCTTGGATCAAATCCATTTGAAATTTCTCAGCTTAGAAGTGAAATTTTACACTCAGTTGATGTGTCTTTTGATTTCTAACTAATTCAGAACAACATTGGCCATTAAGACATGATCATTTTTACTTAGAACCTCTGAAGCCTTACTTATATCCGATATCTCAGCTCTCCTTTCTCACTTCATTCATTCTTGGGTGAGAATTATAGAACTGTGTAAAATATGACATCAACCTGTCCCTTGCCTGAGGGACGGTGATAAGCTTGGTGGCCTACCACCTGGTTAGGGCCATTGAGTATGTTGCTACGAGTCACTAGGAAGTCCTTGAGAATCCAAAAGGAAGGGTAGGAAACGAGATTGAGTAGTATCGCTTCTCAGCCTCTTGGCTAAGATCAGTGTAGGAATAGATTATAAATGAGACTTCCTGCTGAGCTGATTTCATTTTCTGTTCTGATTCAGACATCTTATGGGATAATTAAGGGCTCTGGACTCTCAAGGAATCACCTAGATTCTTGAGAAATGACTCCATGGTGCTGGTGCATAAGGATAGTTTTCTTTTGACACAGGGCTAACCAGTTGGCACTGATCACTTGCCCTGAGATAGAATTGTTTAGCTATGCCAAAAGTGCATTGCACTGCTTCACACTCTTTTGAACATATTATCAGTTTACTCTACAGCCCTCATTGGGTTCACATTTGATCCTATGGAGCTGTGCCAGGACGAAAAACTAGTCATATATTCCGTATTTTGAAAATCACCAACAGGCTAACTGTTGTTAATGGCCAAGCAGGTGCTCTGGCATGTTCGTGCCGATGGCATTCCGTAACATAGTATTTTAATCAGACGTAAATCAGTTTCTGACAGACATAGTTTCACTTGTGATTACAATTTTATTTGCTGTTAACTTTGATTTTAAGCATCATCTTCCATTGAGGATAGGGTTGATCAAAGAGGCAGTGGGGCCATTTCTGTGGGTCACCACATATGTACAAACGAGTGCTTGGAATGCAGAAGCAACACATTTAATCTCATGGTAGTAGATACATACAACATTTCTTATTGCCATAGAAAGTGACTGTTTGAAGTAAGCAAAACAAAAAATGATTATACATTTGGTATGGAATTAGGCAATTTTTTATTATTGTGAGAAAACTGTCCCCTACTTTCCAGGTTTTTCAAGTGGTAGGATGTAAAGTCCATATGGTGGGGTTTAAATACAAGAACAATCTAGAATGAAGGGCTGCAGTACTGACAGAAGTTATCGGAACTGGTTTCCAGCTGCCTGAGCTGCAACCTTGAAGTAAAAGGAACGCAAGAGAGGATAAACTTTTCTGGCCTTGACCCTAAACAGCAGTAATAATATAATCTTAATCTATCCAACCCAAGGTCTACCTAGGAGCAGCACTAAATTAATGAAATAACGATAACAAGGTAGTGTTACTTGTCTGCAGACCCCTGATTTGATACTTCAGGCCAAGGTTGCTAGATGTGTCAAACATTGTTGTTGGGACTGTTATTTTGAATTGGCTTGCATTACTGGAATGATTGGAGGCTTTTTGGATATTCCTCGGGGAGGCGTTCTGTGGTTCAACTCCAATTTATAATAAGGGTGTGCGCTGCGGAATGTTCTTAATGTATCAAGTGGACAATCGGATAGAGAGCAATTGTATCTCTAGCAAGAGGTCGCATCTCAGTGTATCCTGCAATACTTAGCAAGTTTATAGATGAGCGATAATCTCTTTGTATTTCATACACAATTGCCCAATCCTGGATTCGCTGCTGGGATAATAACAACAGGAGGGTACAGTCAAAATGGGCAGTTGGTAGGACTTTGGAAAGTTCGGTGGAATGTGCATAGAAATGAGAGGATGGATGGCCAACTCCTAGACAGTCGTGACACCTTATGTTTCTGCCAAGGTGATATGGATGTGCTTAAGGATGAAAGATTTGTCCTCCCAATATAATGGTTCTTGTGGTTGGTGATTGTATTCTCAAGATGGTGGCTTTTGAACAAAAATGTATGTATGTAATGAATGTATTGTACCAAATTAAAAGTGAATATGCGATAATTCCATTTCTCGTGTGGCACGAAGCAATCCATGCCTAGAAACCAGTTTAGGTCTATAGCAAATTAGTAGCTTTAAGCATAGATATTAGAGGATTATGACTGGCAGAATATAGCTAATACATATTGGCCAAAGAAGGTTGTTTAGGCTACGTAAGCATAAGGGCTGGGTGATGTTATAAAAGCCAAGCACCATGTATGTCCAGTATACTGGCAAAAAAGAAAAACTAGGAAAATACTTAAATCTAGTTGGCTGTGTGATGGGCAACATTCTGTGTTAATATTTGAATGTATATGTGCCCAATTCTCATCCCATAAAAAAATAGTAGTATATGTATAAATATATAGAGATTATGCTGTCATTACTCGCGGTAATAAGATTAATAGAAGGGCATGAGAGTGAAGGCAAGGTGCATATGGGCTGGGAGGGGGCTATAGTGAGTGTTGGTGGGTGAAGCCAAAAAGTTAGCCAGGCATTATCCTGTAGGTCTTACCGCCAAGGACTGACTTAGAGTGGGTATGAGAAATTCGTTTTACCCTGAGGAGATAAGAATCGCACTTCACGCAGAAAAATGACCAAGTGTAATAGTAAAAACGGGGCGTTGACATAGAGTACGGGGCTGAGAATTTTTCATAAACAAGAACATCCAACCCATCTATGGGGATATGGAAAATTGATCAAAGCTATACATGATCCAAATTGAGCACGATTTTTCTATCTGTAGAAATAAATAACATAATCAAGTATTTTAAATATACTTAAATAACCATCCCCCAAGAAATAAAAATAATTGACAGTAAACTACAGGTGCCGAATGGCTTCATGAGATTACTCACTGGGGGAATTTTATCAGGTAACCTCAGTTTTATAAAGGAACTTGGAGCCAGCGACATCCTGCGGGCGAGAGAGGGAGCGAGCAGGCGCAGCTTGATAAAGACTCTGATTCGACCCCTGTTTCCAATCAACTGCAGAAGGAGAACACACACACACAAAAAAAAAAAAAAGGAAAAAAAAAAAAACCACTTCCGGGAAGGTGAAGCCACGCTTTCTGGACTGCAATATGGAGGCTACCGGTGGAACCGAAGAGCCGGTGAGACGCTGCTCTGGGGTCGGGTGAGTTGGGAAGTCGAGCCGGGTCGAGTCTTGAATTTTTTTTCTTCCTTCTTTTCCCCTTCCCAGGTTTCCGGGGAGCTGGTGTCTGTGGCACATGCTCTTTCTCTCCCGGCAGAGTCGTATGGCAACGATGTGAGTATGACTCACCCACAACTCCTGCCCACCCAGTTAGCCTGGGATGTCTGCAGGGCCTTCCTATAAATTCTAACCCCCTGTTCTGACATCTTCTGCACACTCTCTCCGCGTTCTCCAGAAACCTCACCTTCGTTCAATTCATTCGAATCTTGGTCCGCAAACGCAGGACCGATGCCCGTGGAAGTGATTCCCCAACTTTGCTATGCCTTAGAAATCACCTGAGAAGCTTTTAAACATCCCGATTGCTAGATTGCAGTTCATACCAACTAAATCAGAATCTCTGGAGGATGGAGAGCCAAGAATTTTTTTAAGTATTTGAAGGATTTTAAAGTATCAGTATTTTTTTCCCCGAGTGGTCAGACTTGGAAGGGTATCAGTATTTTTTAAAGGTCCCTAAGTGGTTCCATTGTGCAGCAAAACTGTACTGGCTTATGGTTTGTCTGGTTTAGGACCTTAAGGCGAAAAGCACTTGATGCATTTTGAGAAACAAGACAAAGAGACGTGAGAATAATAGTAACACCCAATGAGAATGTGATGCATACTAGATGAGTGGGTCCGGCCATAAGATCCAAGACGTTTAGCTGAAGAAGAGATCCCTAAAGACTGAGGCAGTAGAAGACAACTTAACTGAGGAAGTGGAGCTTTAACTGGATCCTCAAAGTTTAGGTAGATATAGGACATGGATTGGCGGGTAGGAAAAGTGCATGGTCTATAAGGCATGGAGGAACAAATGCAAATGGCTTTTTTCTGGAGTCATTGACATAGATCTGTCTAGTTGGAGTGAGAGATGCCAGTGGAAAAGGTGATGGGTGCTTGGTAAGATTTATTTGTAACCTGACTGCTTTCATGATGCTAATTCATTTCTAGGTGTTACAGAGTGGGGAATGGCTATCTAAGAAACACAAATGATGATTATGACCAGCCGTAGTCTTAAACATGAAAAAATAGCTTTCTGTTCCATTGTCTTTGTTCTCCCAACAACTTGGTGGTGTAGATGGGTATGTTATTTTAGCTTTACAGTGATTTAACTCAGTCCTGAGAAGATGATTAATTTATTGCTTTCTTTAGCCTCCCACACTTCCACTAGCTGCTGGGAAAAGATAGCCAGTGCTTCATTGTATTTATTATACTGCGTAGGTAGCTTCTTTTTGTTGCCATAAGGACAAAAGAATTATTGTCCAAATTCATAATCTAGTTTTTATCCTTTGACAGTAATATCAAGTTTGGTAGCCTTCTTGAGCATTAACTGGACATCCATGTACTTGCTTAATTTGTTATCCAGTAGAAGGATTGGAGTTTTCTGATCTGGCATTCTTCACTCCTTTGCAGCCTGATATTGAGATGGCTTGGGCCATGAGAGCAATGCAGCATGCTGAAGTCTATTACAAGGTGAGTTGTCTTCATCATTAAGCGGAATTAAACATGTAATTGTAGTGTATGGTGCTCTGCTAATCACTCTGTTAGCAAGTTGAACAGTTGTGTTTTGGAGATAGTTTTTATTACTATATGATCTTACCCCCAGACAACAGAGGGGTGGGAGAAAACTTGTTTTGGCAATGAGGAGTTCTGCTGCTTTCCGAAGTGTTCTGTTACTAGCTGGCAAAAGGGTACTTGGCCCATACATAGAAGGCACTTAATAAATGTTTGTTGAATGAATGAACAAGCTACAGAGGGTGATAGCCAGGCATTACTAGGGCCAAATGGGCCAATTGACCAAATTGGTGGAAGAGATTGTAATATATTATGGCACTTTAAAACTATGTCATGATTTCATCTAGGACTTAGGCTGTCATACTTCCTAATGAAATCTTCTGCCCTGAGGATCCATAAGGGTGTTCTGACAACGGTTGGGGGAGATGGAAATGCAATAAGTTAGAGACTAGCATTGTATGTTGTCTTACTGTCTGGCAGTTGATTTCATCAGTTGACCCACAGTTCCTGAAACTCACCAAAGTGGATGACCAAATCTACTCTGAGTTTCGGGAAAATTTTGAGAAACTCAGGATAGATATATTGGACCCAGAAGAACTCAAATCAGAATCCGCTAAAGAGGTAAGAATTCTATTTCCTAAATATTATTATACCTAGCATTTGACCAACAACTTTTAAAATTTTTTTGTTTGTTTTAAGGAAAATATGTAATAAAGAACCAGTGTGCTTTTTTTTGTAGTTATAATCAACTAAGTAAGTTAGGAAATGAATGTTTTTCCAATTTATGGATTTTTCATATTCCTTGAGTCTCCTTTTTTCCCCTTTTTAACTTGGATGTCTCAAATCTCTATCCACCCAGCCCTTTCAGATGAGGAGGAATCAGTTTACTTGAGTAGGTAGTTTAGCCAGAAGATTTGGGTGGGGACGTGGCAAACAGGTTACAGAAAGGTGTTTTGATTCTCTGGATTTATGTTTACATTATCATAGGCCATGGATGATTGAAAAACTTGTGTTTTTTTTGTTGCTTATGTGATTATCTTATACTTTGACAGGGTACCTAACGCTAACAGTTAAGAAAAAAATTTCCCTTGGCTAATGAATAATCTAAAATTTCAACTCCTAGCAGACTATTACTACTGATCTTGCTGCTACTGAATAGGCTTCTTTCTTAAAATCTAACTTTATGTGGCTCACGCCTGTAATCCTAGCTCTCTGGGAGGCCGAGGCGGGCGGATTGCTCAAGGTCAGGAGTTCAAAACCAGCCTGAGCAAGAGCGAGACCCTGTCTCTACTATAAATAGAAAGAAATTAATTGGCCAACTGATATATATATAAAAAAAATTAGCCGGGCATGGTGGCGCATGCCTGTAGTCCCAGCTACTCGGGAGGCTGAGGCAGGAGGATCGCTTGAGCCCAGGAGTTTGAGGTTGCTGTGAGCTAGGCTGACGCCATGGCACTCACTCTAGCCTGGACAACAAAGCGAGACTCTGTCTCAAAAAAAAAAAATCTAACTTTATGATTTTGGGCCAAATTCCTTCCTTCTTTGTCTCATTTGTGCTTTAGTGAGGATGAGTAACCATTTTGGGCTGAGCTGACCAATAACTTCAAAATGAAGCAGAATCTATTTAAGAAATCACATTTTAATTTTGTAATAAAAGGATTTATATATTTTTTTGAAGTTAAATATTGTTTGTGTTAGGAAATAGCAACCTAAAAACAATAGGTAACACAGAAACTTACTACTAGTTTCACTGTGAACTAGCAATCACCTCAATTCTAGTCTCTTCCACTATTGCTATTTTCCTTACTGGGGAAGTAGAAGCCCCTCTCCTGGCCTGAGTGTATCAGCCTCTTGCATTTGTCAGCTACAGCATTGTTTTTTTGTTTGTTGGGTTTTTTTTTTTTTTTTGCCTTTATAGAAGTGGAGGCCATTCTGCTTGAAGTTTGATGGGATTGTAGAAGACTTCAACTATGGTACTTTGCTGCGACTAGACTGTTCTCAGGGATACACTGAGGAAAACACCATCTTTGGTGAGTTTCTTGCCTCTGGAAGTGTTTTTGTATAAGGGAAGTGAGGAATCTTGTTTCACTGATGCATCAGTGACATGTATAGTTAGGTTGGAGGTCATCTTATTTGTTATATCTTTAATGATCATGTTTCTGTTTCTTAGGTAACTGTAAGATAGTTAAGTTTTTTCAGTCTTGTTAATATGAGGTTAGAATTCAAGGTCTCTGAAGCTTATGACTATACTTGAATGATTTGCATATTAGTTCTGCTTTGTCAATAATTTCCAATGGATTTAGGGAATTAACTGAGACTAGGACAATAATCAATTCTGTTCACCTTCCAGCTCCCAGGATACAATTTTTTGCCATTGAAATTGCTCGGAACCGGGAAGGCTATAACAAAGCAGTTTACATCAGTGTTCAGGACAAAAAAGGAGAGAAAGGAGCCAACAGTGGAGGAGAGAAAGAAGCTGACAGTGGAGAAGAAGAGAAAGGAGTCAACAAAGAAGAAGAAGAAAAGGAGAAAACTGACAAAGGAGGAGAAAAAGAGAAAGAAGCTGACACAGAAATCAGCAAAAGTGGTGAAACAGCTATGTAAGGTAGACAGGAAACAGCACTGTAGAAGCTGTGGCTCAACTGAGCCTACAAGTACCATGGTACTACTTGCACAGACTCCTTTGGTTAAATATATGTTCTTGTGCAGTTGAAGGACACTCAGAAGGACATCTTTCTAGTCTGATAACCAGGAGTTGTTCATTTTCTTAGTGGCTTACAGACTATTAGTGGATCTTAGTTGATTGTTTCTTGGTATATTATTTCTTGGCTCTCACCACAGTCAAGTAAGAAATTTTGTAAATAAATTTCTTTTGGTTCTTATCTATATCTGTGACTGACTTTAAAAAGGTATTTAGAATTATTTGACACCTTTCATTATTTTCAGGTTTATAATTTCATCACCATGTCTTATATAAAATGATTTATGCCTGTTTCTTAATTCTTCTCACTGTTTCCTGTAGTAAAGTTCTCTCAACCTGTTAAGTTGTATCTAGTGTTGGGATTAGAAGTCCTTAACATAAGAATTGACCCTTACTTTCTGAGTGACTATAGCTCCCTGATTTCCTTTACTATATATAACAAAAAGTTTGATAAATACTCCATGGAGATAGCAACAGCAACCTGAACCTGTCAGATTAGTGAATGCAGCCCTGTTCTTATTAGAGGAACAAAAGACTGGACCTATCTTAGTACTTAATTCTCTTCTGGTAGCCAGGTTGTTACCTGAAAGCTGGCAAAACAATTAAATGTGAAACCTGATAGATTGGCTTCCCTTTTCTAATGTTATGGACAATATGATACATTTATGTATTAACACAAAATGAATATATTTTTAAGTGATATTTTGTCAAACTCCAAAAACAGATAAATTGATTTTACATGGATGAGGGGGTGTATTAAGAGTACATCCTTTAGCCAGGCATGGCGGCGCAAGCCTGTAGTCCCAGCTACTTCGGAGACTGGGGCAGAAGGATTGTTTAAGCCCAGGAGTTTGAGTTTGCTGTGAGCTAGGCTAATGCCACGACGCTCTAGCCCAGGCAACAGAACAAGACTCTGTCTCCAAAAAAAAAAGAGTACATCTTCAGTTACCTTCACATGTATATGCAGGTTCATGCATATCCCTATAGACATATTGAACTTGACTGCTGAAACTAGTTAGAGGAAATCACAGTGTTTTATAGTACATACAGTAAATACAAATCTGACCACAACATGATCATGTAAGAAAGGATTTACCAGAGCAGAGAAGGGAAAATGAGGCTTTTTTTTTTTATTCCAGTAGTCATAGGAGAATAATAAAAATTAAAACTAATTGATGAATTCTGCTGTAGGCAAAAGCTGAACTGTAGATGCATACAGCTAGCAACAACAATTTTGCACAAAAAAAATAGGTTTCTCCGTGAATTCTCTTTGGCAAGGTATTAAAAATACTTAAAACATTGTTAGAGTCTTCATTTTATAAAAAATGTATGTTTTGAAAGGGGTAGGAGATTTCCAGAGAGAAGGATCCAATTAAAGAAAACCAAAATTAAAGGGGTAGAAGTTAAATACTTCATACTAGGCAGACTTTGTTATTAAGAATCTTTACTGTATTAACTTTCTCTGGTTTATACATTTTATATATCCAGAAACATGCATCCATATATGTTGCCTCAGGCTGAGGAAGAGTAAGGATTATTGACCACATACAGTTGCACCTCTGGTGACCTTTTCCAGGTTGTTTACCAGCAAGACAACTTGCTTAATGACTTCTCTCCTCAGTTTTACGGAGAACAAGAAACAATGTTGAAAGACTGCCTTAAAGCAAGAAGCATTTGTTAGGTGATGAAAACTGAGGAAAGGGAGGGAAATACATACACCAATACTTCAACTGCACTATAAGGGACCAGGAATTCAAGGTTAGAGGGGAAGGAATGGACGGAATGGTACTCTGGTGTGGTGAACAATTCTTAAGATGGCCCCAAGATTCCCACCCCCTGGCATACGTACCCTGTATAATACTCACCTGTTCAGCGTAGGTGAGACTTAGAAATATGAAAGGATTTCATTCTTGTGATTAAGTTATGGATCATTTGATTTGGGGTTAATCAAAAGGGAGATTACTCTGAGTGAATCTGACCCAATCAGGTGAGTTCTTAGACAAGCAGTGGCAGCAGAGGTTCCTGTGTTGGCCTTAAGGAAGAAAACAGCAATGTGAGAGGAAGGGGGCACATGGCAAGGACTGAAGAGTGGCCCTCTAGAAGCTGAGATTATTCCCTGGCTTACAGCAAGAAAATGGGGATTTCATTTCTCAGTTGCAAGGAACTGAATTCTGCCAACAATCAGTGAGCTTGTAGAAGACCTCAAGCCTCAGATGAGAGTGACACCATGATATTGGCCCTGTGAAACCCTGAACAGAGGACACAGTTAAGCTGCACCTGAACTCCTGACCCATAGGTCAGTGAAATAATAAATGAGCTTTGTCTTAAACCACTAATTATGTGGTAATTTGTTACAGAGCAATAGAAAACTACTACGGACTTTAGTACTGAGAATGAAGTGCTTCTGTAACAAATACCTAAAATGTGGGAGTTGGCTTTGGAAACAGGCAGTAGGTGGAGGCTGGAAGAATTTTGAGAAGCATGATAGAAAAAGCCTAAATTGCCTTGAAGAGACTGTCAGTAGAAATATGTACTTTAAGGATGTTGCTGGTGAATGCTCAGAAGGAAGTAAGGAACATGTTATTAGACAGTGAAGAAGGGAATCCTTAGTAGGTGGTAGCATTGTAGTTAGAGGCCAGGAAGTCTGAGATTTGAGCCCTTGCTCTGAATTATTTGGGAGATGTCATGCCAGGCTTAACAGCGTGTAAACATCTGATTTAATCAGAATGTGGGACCATTCTGGCTATTTATCTTCATGACATCTTTCAGAGGCAAGAAAAGGGCACAGACCAATTTTTACATTTACCGAAGGGAAAAAACTACAGCCTCTTTTTTAAAAAGTTTTAAGCCATTGATTTTGTGGTAATTTGTTACAGCAGTAGGAAATTGATAAAGAAGGCATGGTAAGCCCTACCCCAAAGTAGAGACATTCACTGTACTGTCATTGTTTATTTTGAAACTATAGTTTAAACACTGGGATACCAGAGGATTGGACGCATGAACTGCGCCCAAAGTGAGCTTGAATGATTGTAAACCATTTGAACTTACTCTTCAAAGGAACTCCTGTAGCTGAGTCTGTGTGTGTTAGGTGCTATTGGTATAACTGGGAGTTCTCTAAATTTACCTCTATGTACAATATAGTGCTTATTAATGAAAATGTGCTTATATATATATATATATATATATAAGCTATATAAAGCTCACATATGTACTAATACATAAACTATATATGTAAGCTATATAAAGCTTACATAAAACCCAATAGTAACTTCATTAATTGTTTAGAACTTGGACCAAGAAAAGATCTTTTTGGGAAGGAATATTTTATCATTAACTTTGTTTAAAATTGCCAGAGCATGGTGATAATTAAGTAGACCAAGCTTTTTTTTTTTTTTTTACCATTTTTAAATCTTTTGAAGATAACACACCTTTTATTGTCTACACCCAGTGTGGACAATTCTCACCACCCAACCTTAGTACATAACTGTTGTTTTCATACAATCTTTGTTCAGGTAAATAGTATCATAACTGGTCATTCAAAAGAAAGGCATGTATGTATGTTATGTGAATGGTTGTTTCTCCATGCCTAAATGTTTCTATGCCTAGAATTACAAATGCCAGCACATTGTTGGTCTCCTGAATTGCACTGCTCTCACACAACCATATGACTTGCTAATTTCAAATTTTCCCTGCTCTGCTCAATGAATTTTTCTGAATTCCTCAAATATAAATTGCACCTTCTTGAAGTTAGTATTTATGATTTTGTTTTACAAATTGAAAAAGAGAGATTCAGAGTTATAATTTGTCCTGTCACATAAATGGTGGTATTGGTACTCAAATCCACATCTTTTGATTATGAATCTCTGTTTCTCCATAAGCCAAGTTTCCACTCTATTCATCTTCCTGTTAGAATAGAGGCAAAAATAATTTGGGCGAGGAATCAAAGTATTTAATAAACATAAATAAGAGCATTCTTCAGTGTAGTGATGTCCTGAGCTAGTTTAAGCTTCTCAAATATTTTCAATCCTCTTCCTTTTTCCTTCTAGCTCTCCGAGAGAGATTCCTTTTTGCTTATGCAGGTGAGACTTGTCTAAAAAGCATTATAGGGCACACAGTTTATTTAGGATAAATATGTTATGGATATCTATTATACAGCATGGTGATTATAGTTAATAATAATGTATACCTGAAAATGGCTGAGAGTAGATCTTAAATGTTTTCACCACGAACACATGATAAGCATGTGAAGTGATGGATATCTTAGGTAGCTTGATGTAATCATTTTACAATGTACATATATCAAAACATCACATCGTACGTGGTAAATATATATAATTTTTGTCAATTATACCTTAATAAAGCTGGGGGAGAAAAATGAAAAATAGAGACTGCAACAGTCATCTATATTAGAAAAACATTATAGTATAATCACTATGGTGTATCACTAATATTTCTTCAGTTTCAAAATTACATTTTAATTTCTTAACCTTTCTTATGAACTGAGATTTGGTTGACATATTTCCCTTAAGTATTTTTTTTTTGGAGGCTTTACTCTATCTTCATGAAATTCATTTAAGTCTTTTAAGACTAAATCATTGGAAGCTCTAATATGTATTACTGGTTGGGCTTCACGTTGTAAAGAGAATAAAGGAAATAAAAAATACCTTAACTTAGAGAAGGCTACACCTTTTTAGCTGGAAGTTATTTCTGAAATCTAATTCAACAATGTCATTTTTCAAGTGAAAAAATAAAATAAGACATCAAAGCATGTGCTTTACTCAGTTGAACATCCTCTATGTTTAATTATCTATTATCTTTCCTATTACACTAACAACATCCCATAAGACATCATTCCATAATGTTCCCTTTGTCCTAGATAAAACCTGCACAAGACACTTTTCTGTAGAAAACATAGTTTTAAAATCATCGCCATATTTCTTCGTTATTTAGGATTCTTGTGATGTCCTTTCTATTTAAACTATATCTGGAGAGCTTAGACAATTCTGGGGATTGGAATAATGTTTAAAATAAAAAATAACATTACTCAAAATTTACTTGTTCTTTTCTTTTTTATTAAAGAAAGCAAGTTTATCAGTCCTGAGGTTATTTTTCTTCTCCATAGTTCCTAAGGCTTACATGCTCTCTTTGCTTTGGTTTATGAAAGATAAGGAAATTCTTACTTCTGCC